GAAGGCTATTATGACCTTGGCTCGGCCCCTCAGCGTGAGCAGCAGTCAGTTTTCCCCAAATAGTCAGCAGTCAGTTTTCCAAGCCGCAGGAAACCGGACCACGTTATGGTCACTCCAAGAAGTTTCCCCAATTACACGGCGGTGGGGCGCACCCGCGAGCGCGTGCGCGGGCTGTGCGTCTGACGTGGACGGCTGGTCACGCCGCCGCTGTGGGCCTCGTGGACGGACGCTGCTCCTCACCGGCAGCTCCAGCCGCCGTGGCCTCCATCGCGCGTGGGAATGGGCGCGGATTTCGATTTCTTCCACGCCGGTGTCGCGTGGCGGCACAGAGGCGGCGTCACTCAGGCGGCTCGGCAGCAGCGGAGTTGAGCGGCGCCGCCGAATGGCATCTCCGGTCCGAGTCTCGGCAGCGGCGGAGTTGAGCGGCGTCACCGAACGGCATCTCTGGTCCGAGGCTCGGCGTTAGTCAGTTTCGGCCGCCGTGTTTTCCTTCGTTTATTTTTAACGCATCGCGTGCAGCGCCAAATTGTCCACGTCCAAACACGGCTGAAGTTGCGGTGGATCTGGAAGGAAATTGGGCACACAGTCTGTATGAGTGGTTAAATCGAAATATAAGACCGCTCTCCCCTCCTCTCGCTCTGACCAGGCTCCAGGCTTTCGGCCGATGTCTGGTGGTAGGAACGGTTCTTGGGCATCCGACTGCGGTGAGCTCACTTGCTTGTTACTTTCAGCATCACCCCGTGAAATGTCTCTAGTTTTGTCAACTCGAGGCCGGACGTTGTCACACGCGGCGCGTTCGAAATAAGCCTGGATAAATGCGCTTTGAACGAACGTAGCGGAATTAGACTGGATTTTCCGGAGAATACGCTGCCGATGTCGCCAGCCAGCTTACCCCCGCGCTGCAGCATCTGTCCCTGCTGCGACGTTCGCTTGCCTCTGATAGCAGGTTATGAGGCCGTAACAGTTCGCTGACAGGTCACGGGGTCACCAGTATCCGGCAGCGGATCACTAGAGCCACTGTCTTTGCGAGCGGTCGTCCCGCAAACCGCCGGTAACGTGGAATGTCCGGTCATAGCCCGGGCGCGTTGACCGCGTGTGAGACAGTCTTCTGCTGGGGCTGCTTCTGAAGAGCGTGATGAGTCACTTCCGTTCGTGATGAGGGCTGTGAAATCCTGAGCGTCTACCTGTCCGGACGTGGTGGCGACCACGCGACTTGCAATGCCACGGTCGCTGATCATTGCTTGCGGTGGAAACTTACCCCTTCGCTGGCATGTGGAGCTTACTTCCGGAGAAGGAACAAAGGCTGTCTTGCGCAGTCAAGGGCATGAAATGCAAAGGGCATGCCCAGCCCAGTGGAAATGCCGTGAATAAAAAGGTAGCCTGACAGCAGAAGGCGATTCATAAGATGTTACGACGTTGTCCTAAGCAAAATTGTACCTTGCGTTTGTGTCGTGTTATGTCTTTTGATTCGCTATATTTCAAAATTAGTTGAGTTTTGTATCCGAATCTCTCTATCACCGTTACGCTGCCTCACGTAGAGCCGAGAACAACGAGGGAATCGAGGGCCACGGCAAGAGGAAGGGGGGGGGGGGGGGGGGTTGACCGGGCTCAACGCCCAACAGACCACGGAGCTCGCCAGTTTTCGAGCGTTGGCTAGCGGTGCCCGTCCGCCCGACCTGCCGACCGATGGCAAACAGATGACGTCACCACAGCGGCTGCAGTGACGTCAGAGCTCGTCGTGGGCTGAGGTGGGATCCGACCGGTGTGCCGAGACTGGCTGGTGACGGATTTTGACGTCCTTCGACACTGTAACGGCTGTCGTCAATGATGACTGGTGACGCTGAGTCAGTCACCGTCCATCCCCTTGTAAACAAAGGGCGTTGACCGCACTTTGGAGCTGGCTGCTATCATTGAACACAGTCGTGCTACCGGAACAGTGGGTGTGTAAGTGTAGTTGCACGTGTATGCCTACGCTTACTAATTTCTTACATGCCTGTTATTCCCACCGGGACTGTCTCACTTGCAGGCTTTTTAATGTCATTCGCATTCTGGTTTTGTTTCACCCAAAGCTCGCACTGGACCCTGACTGTCCCCGTTTCGTGCAACGATGACCGGCGTGTGCCTGAAAGCGCCGCCGCCGGGTCGTGTGGGATGCTGCAGGCGGGGACCCCCGCGCCTGTCCGTGTCTTTTGTTGTTGCCGGTGTCCTCACGCGGCCGCCCTGTTGCCTGCATGGACCTTTGTCCTGTAAACAAGCAGCCCGTTGTTCTAGCGAGAGTGGCCTCCGGCGCCTACGCGTTGGTTCGGGAGGGCTCGTGCGTCCCCTGGCACGCAGGCCACGCGAGCGGACGGGCTGCAGGCGATTGCATCTACCCCCCCCCCCCTCCATCCCTCTACCCACCCACCCACCCCCAACCCCGCACAGGAGGGCCGGATTTCTGCGACGTGCCGCGTTACAACAATCAGAGAGTTGGTCGTCTGGTGCCTGTGCTCCCATCTTCTGGAGGCTGATCTTAACAATGGGCGATCTCAAGCGACTTGTGGCCTCTCAGCGATCTCAGTAGTCAGAGAATTGGGATATCGGTAGTGTAGTGGCTAAGCTGCTCATGTGGGAAGCCAGAGGCACGGGGTTCGATTCCGCACGGTGTCCGCCCCACCTGCCAGGGTGAGAGGCGGGCGACGCCACACAGCCTGAGCAACGGAGTTCGCCGAGTCCCAATGACACGCACCCAATCAGCCAGCCGACCGGTTCGTGTCGGCGAGCTTGTCTTCTGGCGGCGGCATTGTGCTCGTGCGCCAGGCCGACCAAGTTCGGCCGACAGACGCCTTGTACGGATCCGGCCGAGGAAAGGTTACGCGATTGGTTCGTGGTGACGCATCAGAAGCTGCGCGGCTGGTCTCGTGGTCCGCGGCGCGGGCGGCCGCCGGCGACAACAACAGCCGGATCAGTGCTGTCTCGGGGAGAAAGCTGGAGCGGCGTGGGGAACAAGAACACGTCCGTCTCGCTGCGGGCCCGTCCGAGGACAGGACCAGGGCTCGTGGCTTCAGCTTGTTGGGCGAGCTGAAGGAAGCTGCGGTGTGCTGCGAAGCCGTACAATTGATCCAGCCCCGCTTAGGCTTATAAAAAAACGCGACAAAAAAGCCACGCCACGGCTCGCCGACCTTGACCTTAGGACCTGAGTGACGAGTCACGTTACCGTCGGCATCGATCTCTTCCGTGACCTTGTAAATGAGGATTCATTAAGCCTGTTGGTGACGGATATCGACCAGCCGAACCAGCCCTGGCCTGAGACGTCAGCAGTCGATAGCGCGCTGTGAGACAGTGCCCTATTCCTATTCCGGTCGTATTTCTTGATCACTCGTGCGTTGAATAACAGCGTGTTAAATGTTGAAAGCGTTGCGCGAATGGGATTGTTTTAAAGGCCGTCGGCAGGCGGCGTTTGTTTTTGCCATCTATTTGTAATGCAGCGGTTGTTTTGGTCGTTCCTACGGGCCGGTGTGGGACTCATTTGTGGTGCAGTCGGTTGTGTTCGCCTCCGGCAGCATCACCCACCGTCGTGACGTTCGTCTGTTCGTCTCTGTTTCCAGCTCTAACTGTCGTCACCACCCAGACCTTCCCGCGGCGACGGCGACGACCGACGGACGCCCCGACGGACGCGCCGACGGCCGACCCAACGGCGCCCTCCGCCGAGCCGAGCCGTCGCTTTCTCTCGGAGGAGGAGCACCAGCTGCTCACCAGCCCCAGCTTCGGCCAGCGGTTGACCACGCGCACTCTCCGCCGCGACTGGACGCCCATCTGGCCGGGCGGCGGCGACGGCGGCGCGCCGGCGGCGGCGGCGCCGACGGTGGCGCGGCCCAGCCGCCAGCCGGCCGACGACGCGGCACCAAGCGTCGACCGCGCGCCCGTCACCGAGTACTACTTCGCCTCGTCGGGGGCGCCGGCCGACTCGTCGTTTCCGCCGGCGCGCCTGCCGACGGCGACGTTCGCTCCGACGTCGCCGACGCGCGCGCTGCCGCCGCCGTCGTCGCGGCCGGCGCTGCTCGGCCCACGGCCGGGCGGCACGCGGCGCGGCGGCACGCGGCTGGCCGACCGTCTCTCGGCGCTGGTGAGTAGCCGGCCGGCGCGCACGCGCATCATCTCGCCCACTCGCTCAGCTCCGGTCGGCCCGAGCTCCGCACAGCTGCGGCCGACGCCGGCGCCGACGTCGGAGTTGGCGGCATCCGGCGCGCCGCCCGGTGACTCGCTGGAGCTCGAGCCGTCGATGCTGCCCGCCTGGGCGGCGCCGGCCGAGCCGACGAACGCGCCACCCACGCCGGCCGCGGCGCCCGTCACCGTGCGTCCGGCGGGGGCCGTGCGCCCGACCCCGGCGGCGCCGCCCTGCGTGGTGACGCCGCAGGGCCCCGGCGGCTACTGCCGCGAGGGCGACATGCTGACTGTGCTGACGACGCGGCCCGGAGGGCGAGTGGCAGGAGTACCGCACCGTGCAGCTGCCGTCGTCGACGGTGGCGGCGCTGGACGGCGAGGTGGCCGCCGACGCCGCCGTCGCGGCGACTCAGGACCCGTCGGGCGTCACGCCGCCGGCCGACGCCGAGGCCACGGGCGAGTCGACGCCGAACGGCGACGACGTCGGTCCGACGGCCGCCGGCCCGACGGTGGAGGCGCCGGCCGCGCCGCCGCCGACGACCGCCGCTGTCGGACCCGCTGGCGACGCCGGCAACGGCGCTCGGCGACGCTGGACCCTCCGCCGTCGCCGGCGACGACAGCAACAGCCTGCCTTCCACCGTCACCTGGCCGTCTGCGCCGACCGGCTCGACGCCCGTGTCGTGGACGACGCAAACGCAGGGGGCGTTCTCGTCGGCGGCGCCCGACGCGAAGACGACGCCGTCGACGGGCGACGGGGCGGACTTCTCGACGACGGGAGCGGCGGTCGTGTGGCCGACGGCGCCGTCGGCGCTGCCCGGACCGCAACCGCCGACGGCTGGGTCAGCCACGGAGCCGCCGACGGAACCCGGCGGCACGCCGACGCCGGCCGCGCGCCCCTCCACCGACGACGTCAAGTTTACGTCATCGACGCTGCCGACGGCGCCGCCGGAGGAGGGTAAGGCGGGCTCGTCGCACGCTCCGTCGACGACGCCGTCCACAGGGAGCACGGCTCCCAAGCTGGCGCCGCCGCAGCCGACGGCCGCCGGCGCGTCGACCACGACGGAGTGGTCTCTTCCGGAGGTTAGCACGCAACCGGAGGCGACCGAGACGACCTGGGAGGCGCCCACGTCCACGGGGCCGCCCGAGACGACGTGGGGGACGACACCCGATACAGATGATAAAGGAGGGGAGACGGCGAAGATCAGGCTGCACGAGACGTCACCCCCTACCGGTGAGAGACGCGTCCGAAGTCAGTTTGAGTGCCCCAGGGCTGCCAGGGGGCTAATGCTGCTTGCCGTTTTATTACAAGCTCTTTTGAAATGTTCATTCGGGATGTGCTCGTAGCAGTGTGGCGCGCGTGAAATGCCCTTTTCAAGTCTTCTTATGGTTGGGGACTGATCTAGAATGTGTTTTTCGGACAGTGTATCAAAAAACATTATGCGTTGCAGTGCACCGCCCAAGTACAACAGCATCAGTCTCCCACACAACGCGTTTGCGGGAAGCCGGATTATGTTGTTTGGCTCGTGCATCAACGGTTACCAGATCTTCCGGCAGTGATGAATATTTGTTCTTGCGTTGTATGTGAAGACGAAAAGCGATTCATATTTTCTTGTGATGCATTGCACGCGCGTTTGGTCGTGGTCTGGAGGTAAACGGCATGTTTCCGGGAAAATGCATCGATCCGTATCGTCGGCGCGGCCTTGATGCAAATCGCTCTCCGTAAAACCAGCTCTCTCTCGCAGTGATCAACTCGACATGGTCTGGTGACGAGAGCACCAAAGGCACTACCGGCTACAGCACCGGCGCGGACGGCTACACCACCAGAGACTACGACGGGTACACATCCAGGGACTACGGCGATTACACCACCAGCGGCTACGACTACACTACGAGCGACTACGGCAACACCAGTGATTATCTCACTGGATCTAGCGCCATCCCTACGTCCCCGGGCGGGTACACTACTGGCCCTAGCGCATTTCCTAGCAGCGGTAGTGGTGGCCACGCAACTGGGACCAATTACACCACAGGTTACCCTGCTGACGGTTATACTACTGAAACGAGTGGTTACCACCCTACTGGCGACAGTGCCTTCTCGTCAAACCATAATTACACAACAAGCGGAACTGGCTTCACATCGGGCACCAGTGGTGACGCCAGCGGCGCCAGGTACTACCCGAGCACGACCAGCGGCTACCCAGCCAAAATCAACTACACCACTGGCACCACCGGCTACACCACAGACGCCAGTGGCGGCGGCACCGGCCCCACCGGTTTCACCGGAGAGACAACCGGCTTCAGCAGCACAGGCTTCACCACCGCATACCCGACCGACACCACCAGTTACGGCACCACCAGCGGCGGCACCAACCGACCGTCGAGCACCCTGCAGCCGCCGGCCGTCACCAGCGGCACTACCAGCGGCACCACCAGCGGCACCACCAGCAGCACCAGCACCACCAGCACCACCACCAGCACCACTAGCAGCACTACGACGACCAGCCGGCCGGCGAGCAGCTCACGGCCGCCGGGCATCACGCACAGCTCAGTGGTGCCACCTGTCGAGCTGTACGTGCAGTTCCTGATCGCTGCAACCTGGCCACAGTTCTGTAAGCTGCGCCACAGCTTCCAGCAGCAGGTGGTCGACATGCTCAACAAGGACACGCAGAGGTCAGTGCACAACGCACTATTTTTTATTATTTCATTTAGAGTTTTTTATTCCGGTGCCAGGCTACACCCATTCTTGCGGTAAATGCAATGTCGATTTTTGCCACTTTACGCTATGCGTGCAATGGACCTTGTTTCGTACCGTTACCAGCAATTTTACGAGGGTTTTGAACCATTCACACTCCACCTGATCACCACCTACCGTCACATTTTTCCGTCCTCCACAGCTGTCCAATTTTCTAGTGCTCTTGGTACGCTAGAAATGCTGCCGTGGTTTCTCTGACCGATTGGCGCCTTCGCCAACGTCATAGATCGGTGTGAAACTGAAAGCTCTGTCTATAGCAAAACTAAGCGAAACAATCCAATGGAAAGGTGCATACTAGTGATGTCTTCCGCCCGTAAAACATTTTCTGATTAATAGAGGGCTTTCTGGCCAGCCGTAGATGCGCGTGGAGTGGGCGTCACTTGTCTTATCGAGGCTGTTTACTGTTTGAATGAATGCCATCACGAAGCTGAGGCTGCTCGTCGAGAGCGCGGGTGCAACACCGACAGTCACCATCCCTGTCTGTCTGTCTGCCTGTCTGCTGTCTATTGTCCGCCTGTCTGTCCACGTGTGTAACTGTTCCGACCCGTGCGCCAGTCGTGTTAGAATTCCGTGCAGTGCTCTGGCGAGTTTCCGGCTGCAAGGTAAAAAAGCACCTGTCAGGCCGCCTGCCGTGATAGTCTCTGACAGTTAAGACGACAATGTGGGTAGCTCTGCAAGATTTTGAGCCTTGTAGCAGGGCCCCGTGCTGCTAACCGGAGACAATGACTGCCGAGCTGCGCGGAGACAAAGCTCGCCTCCCGAATTCCTGGGGTCTGGTGCCTCGCCTCCAGTTTTCCTTCCTGGAGGGAATGGTGGCAGGGAACGGTCTCGCTCGTGTGAGCTGGCGTTTCATGTCCAGTCTTCCTCCCGGCTGCCGTCCGGGCCCGGTTCGCTGGGCCTGAGAGCAGTGGCTGCCCGCCGATAGCGGTAATTTTAGGAACATTCCTAGCGCTCTTACCTCGAGATCATGAAACTATAAGGATATTACCCGATGGTTTGTATGTATTAGGACGGTGGATGACTAATACTGGTGGTGAAAACTGCATTCTTGCCGATGCGTATGCCCGTTGCTCGGAGTTTCTTCGAAAGATTGCTCGGTTTTGTCTCGTTTGTCTCGGTCCCGTGGCTTCCTGTGTTTTTTTCCTTTCGGTCAACTTGTTACTGAACTGCTCCTTGTCAACTGTCTTAGTCCGTCATTCTTTCTGCTTACGACTCCGCCTCTGCGTCATATTTTTTTATAACGGCGACCAGCGGCGACTAGTTAACGGGTAGCCATTTCCCGAAACACCGGCGGGTGCTGTGGTGACAGGAACACCAGCGGTCATTAGAATGCCTGGAAATCTAACCCTGACCTCCCAATACGAGCCTAACCCAGCTCTTCAATTACGCAACCCTGTCGTCCGCTTTGGCGCGTGCGACATCTTTTGCACGTATGAAGCTTCCCCCCCCCCCCACCTCACCCCCCCCACGCCACGCAAGGACTGGCACAGCCCAGTCCAATCTCTCTTCTCTCCTTTTGCAGCAACCTGACCGCGCAGAACGCGGTGCTCTTCAACATTCCGCTCTGCGGCGGCCCGGCGCATGCGCGGCGCCGCTCGGCCGCCATCTTGGTGTTCCTGTACGTGACGGACGCGGCCGGCCGCTACCACCGCCCTCTGACGGAGCGCGTGGAGCCGCTCTGGGAGGCGGGCGAGGGCGGCCCGATGGCGCGGCTCGTGCGGGAGGTGGACACCATCCGCCCCAGCCATCCGGCGTTGGCGGCAGAGCCGGAGGGCTCCGACCGCGCCGGCGTCATCGCCGCCATCACCGTCGGCTGCGTGGCTGTGGCCAGCCTGGTGCTGCTGGCTGTCCTGCTGGTGAGGACTAAAGGGGAGGGGCAGCCGGGGATGCTATCGGGTGATGCTGTTCACTGATACTGTTTGAGAGGTGATCTGCACTAGCAGTCCTTTCGCGGCCCTTGTTAACATTTCTACCTAACTTACCAGCAAAAGAACGGCGGTGGAACCCTCTGAGTGATATGACCTGTCTTGCAGTGTGTTTTCCCAGCAGGAGAGGGGGGGGGGGGGACTCATCGGCCAGCCGGTATTTTTTTACACAACTCGAATTCCTGGGGTAGTTGCGCCTTTCCAAGTGGCAGTGAGGACCTGGGTTCCCGGACATGACCTGCGTCCGAACGTGCTGCCCATCTGTCGCCGACTTGTCCCACTCCCGCGTGATGCAGTGCCTCCCGGGTTAGGCTGCACCACTCGTCTCTTTCCCCTGGGCGTGTCCATGTATGAGACGCATCCGCGCTGGAGCCAGCAGCCAGCAGCCAGCAGCTGGCAGCCAGCGCTGCTCCCCAGCTCACTGGCCATCACGTGCTCACCCCCTCCCCTCCCCCGTCGCCAGGTGGTCGTACGGCACCGGCGCCGCGCCGCGCAGGCCGCCCAGCGCTGCAACCCCGTCTCGATGGAGGAATACGGCGTCGAGTCTGTCTTCAGCTCGATGAGGCGCAAGAACAAGCTGCGCCGCTCGGTGCGCTCGTACCTGAACCACGCCTTTGACGATCACGACGCGCCGTCCAACGCCGTCAACTTCGCCGGCCTGGCCAACCTGTCCGGCGACCTGGCCGCCCTCAAAGGTCAGGGTGTGACCTGATCGCCTGGATGCATGACCTGGCTGCCCGCGAAGGTCAATGGATGCGAATTTCCTGGCCTGACCTGACCATGCTGCCTGACCGTAATCAAAGGTCAGACCGTGACCTGTGTGAAGGACACGGCGACCTCGGTGCACTTGAAGGTCGATTTTGTGCGTTGTATGACCTCATGACCTTGCCTGACCGCAATGAAAGGTCATGGTGCGACTGACTTGGCCAGGGCGCACGGCACGGCTGCTGTTGAAGTAATCTGAGGATTTCTCTGTTGTGGTCCGCGACTCCGAAGGGCCAACCCACGTTACTGCTATATTTACTTTACACTAAATGCTATTCATACTGCACTAGAAGACTGCCAAGGCTCAATTCTGACTAAAATGGTGAAGCTGTCGGGGCATGACCCCAGTCATCGTTTAACCGCATGTTGACGTCAGCGTTTTCCGTGCATCGGAGAGCAGTTCGGACAAAATTCCGTCTGATGACACAGCAGTGTGGCCATGCCGACCCTTCTCCCTTCCTGCAGCCGCCTTGAGTTCTCCCTCCGTCACGCATGCTCGGCATGGCCGCGGTCGATTTGGGCGCGGTCTGTCTGACCCCGACTCGCCCGCCCCGCAGAGGAGTTTGACTCTATACCCACCGGGGTGATGCCGACGTTGGACGACCTGCCGGCCGGCAGCGAGGACAAGAACCGCTACGCCAACGTGCTGCCGGTGCCCGAGACGCGCGTCGTGCTGGAGCAGAAGACCGGCGCCCCCAATAGCGACTACATCAACGCCAACTACGTCCGGGTCAGTACCAACGACGGCTGTCTGGAAAGTGAGAGGTCTACGGCTCGATTCTCATCGCGGGAAACTTTCACCTGCCCGATGTATTTTCCACTAGGGTGGAGCAAGTTCGATGGCTGCCGCCGGTACGTGCACTGGCTATCTAGTGCACGCATGGAGAGAGTGTGCAAGAGTGAGTGTGTTGCTGGAAACGTTTGCATCGTTTTGAAAAATGTTACCTGCTCGCAGCGAGCTGAACAGCGCGCCTGCGCCGTGTTGTTTCACATGCTCTTTGCGCACCCAACCAATCGTCAAAGTATTTTTGGTTGGGCTATTTAAGAAGAGCTATGAAGCTCCGTTTAGTTCAGACAGTGTCCATCCGAAAGATGTCACAAATGAGAGAATAAGGTCAGTTTTAAGTTCATAAACCCAGCCCGGTCAGGGCGATCATACACTGCATCTGTAACGCTCGGTGGCGATGATATCAACATAGCATTAGAAGCAAGGCGATTATCTGTTAATGCCAGCCCTCCTCATTGTACGCCTCTGCTGATCGTCAGGGACCTAAGGAGGAGTCCCAGTTCTACATCGCCACCCAGGGCCCGCTGGAGTCGACCGTCAACGACTTCTGGCGCATGGTCTGGGAGACGCAGTCCAAGGTCATCGTATGCCTCACCGACATCGTTGAAAGAGGCGTGGTGCGTTAAACTTGCTGATCTACTTTTCTCCTGCATCCAGTATGGGCATGGTCATTGTGTTACGCCACTGCCGGTCTGTCGCCGTTTGTCGCCGCTCGTTTTGTTCCGTTCTATCCTTCATAAGCGCGATAGTCTTTTATCGCGCCGTTCGCTTTAGCTGTCGACCGAATGGCACCACCTAGACAATCGCTATCAAAGCATCAGACAGCAGACCTTCAATAGCAAATAGCAGTCTCATTGTGACGCGCCGGGCGTTCATGTGCGCCCCACCCACTAGCAAACGCTGGCATTGAGTGAGAAGCACACAGTCCGGCTGGTCTCCCCTCACCAGTCATACCGTGCCTGAGAAGACCTTGACTCGCTCCGTCGAGTCACGCTGCCCGCCATAGACGAGCGCGCTGCTGATCAAACGGAACACCACAGGAACACCACACCGCAGCCCTGGGGCGCCGGAGGCCCTGTGTACCGTCCGAGGGCGCATTGTTCGAGAGCCGTTCCGCCGCAGACTCGGTCGCGGCGGCCGCAGCACCAGTCAGCTGTTGCTGCGGCGAGCCGTGTTTGGGTGGCGTGATCGTCGAGCGTTCGTGATTGGCGATTGGTGGCCTGTGGGTAAATAAGCGTCGCGTGATTGGTTACCGTCGGCCGGCGTTTGCAGCGGCGCTGCGCCGAGTACCTGCCGCCGTCCGAGTCCTTGGACCGCCACCGGCTCTACGGCGACTTCCAGGTCACGCTCATGGCTAAGGTCAAGAAGGACAAGTACGTGGTGTCCACGGTACAGCTGAAGGTGAGCAGGCGGTGCGGGTCTCTGGTGAGCATGCGCTTGTAGGCTGTGTAGGCGAAGCTGTGCTGTGTACACATGAAAGAACCTGTCAGAACAGACAAGGTCGTAATCGTAATGGCACTCAGTCGATACGGAAGAACCTGTCAGAACAGACAGGGTTAGAATCGTATTGGCAATGTCAGTCGGTACGGAAGAACCTGTGAGAACAGACAAGGTCAGAATCGTAATGGCAATGTCAGTCGGTACAATAATAGCTGCAATGAATACGTCGCTTTCGTTTCTAGCCAATCTCGGCAATTTGCCTAATTTATTGCGTATCATGGACGATGCACCACAAGCGCAATCGCAGAATGGAGAACTTCTTGCACTTTTTCTGGGCATGCACTGAGAACTCACATCTCAGGGGCATTGCTATACGCAATGTGATTTAAGAGCCGATGATGAGGGCGTGAGTCTGAATTTATGTGCCATCTATGGTACCAGCAATCCAGCTTTTCAAAAATATATCGACATACGGCGTGAAGCCGTACTTCTCGCCTTTGACACGTGTACGCAACTGTGAGAACCGAACCCAGCTGAGTACGCAACTGTGGAGACGGAACCCAGCTGAGTACGCAACTGTGAGAACGGAACGCAGCTGAGTACGCAACTGTGAGAACGGAACCCAGCTGAGTACGCAACTGTGAAAACCGAACCCAGCTGAGTACACAACTGTGGAAACGGAACGCAGCTGAGTACGCAACTATGGAAACAGAACTCAGCTGAGTACGCAACTGTGAGAACGCAACCCGACTGAGGACGCAGCTGCGCTGCCCGACGTGCCCGCGCTAGCCCGCTGTTCCCCACCTTCCGCAGAACATGGACAGTAACCTGTTCCGGGAGGTGACGCATCTCTGGTACTCGGGCTGGCCCGAGCGAGGGGTGCCCTCCGACCTCGACTCGATGGTGCAGTTTATCCAGGAGGCGCGCCGCGCAATGAAGACCAACATCGGCCCCACTGTGGTCCACTGCAGGTCGGTGGGGTGGGGGAGGGGGGGGGGCGAGAGGGGGGGGGGGGAAGGTAGAAGCACGCGGGCAGGGTCGCCGGCCGCTACCAGAGTCAGGATGTCTGTGTTATGGTGACCACCGTGTGTGCTTGGATCTCAGTTGGAGTGACTGGAGCCTAGATGTTGGGGGGCCTGTCCTCGGTTTTGGGTTTCCGCCGTGACAGTTACCAGCATGCCATGTTATGACGTCATGCTCGATGTGTCTTCTGCTCGAGTGCTGTAGTGTGACTGACCACGAATTGTTCGTCCTTGACGTGCTTCCAATACCCGGCCCGAGACTACTGCCATCTCCGCCGGCCTGATACGTCACCATTGTTCTACGACCTAACCTGTACCGCCCAGCCCGGAGCGGCCGGAAGTGTGTGCTGCCGCCTGTCCCCGTGTCGTGACCTGTGACCTGACCTGACCCCGGTCTCCGCAGCCCGGGCACCGGCCGGACTGGCGTCATGCTGGCCTGCGACATCTGCGTGCGCCAGTTCGAGACGTCCCGCTCGGCCGACATCATGCGCGCCGTGTTCCGACTGCGCCAGGATCGCGCCGGCGCCGTTCAAACGCGCGAGCAGTACGCGCTCATTTATAAGGTACGAGGTCATATAAGGTCATCATATATAAGAGTGGCGTCCGAGCTCGCAGCACTGCGCTGCCCAATGCATGGGGCGTCCGTGCACGAATTCGAGCTGGTCCACCAATCGAATGTTTTATCACAGGCAAGCGGGCGAATACTGGACCTGTCCTCGGATAACGAACCACTCGACGAACAGGGATATGTGGAGGGACTGGCTTCTGCGGATTTTTATGCTGGCAACAAATGAATGCTGATGCGTATTAAATCTTTGCTGTGCAGTTTTAGCCGGGTTTTGTTTGACGTGATGTCAGGTTTTCACCACCTGCACGGTCTTAGCATACCGGCGGAATGTGCCGTATCATGCATCGGTCAAACAGGTTGATTTCGCTCAACCGACGCCGGCCGCGTCGTGTGAACAGGTATTGGGGTCGGTTCAGTTACGTGTTTGCGCCGTTCCGTGATAATCTTTGAATTGTGAGCATTGTCACATTCGCCAATACCCCATGTGATGTTGACATCGCTTAATTTCACTACACTTTTTAAACAAGCAAGCCACAGGCCGTACACGTTCAGTAAGACTCCTTTCAGCTCTGCGTTGTGTTACTGCGGTGTCTTTACTGTTTACTGCGGTATTCATCTGTCTACCGCGACATTCCACACGCACAGGGCTGCCGGGGAGTCGTGTGGAGTCCGCGGGCACGAGCGGCGCGGACCGCTGACCTCACCGCTCGCCGTGTGCCGCAGGTTCTGAACCAGTACGCTGCGAGCGTCACCAGCGGCAACCTGCCGGCCCTGGAATGAAGACGAGCGCTAGCGAGCGGACCATGTCGGCGAGGTGCGTTGTGATGTAGTTCGTTCTGCGGGCTACCAGGGGGCGCCGCGGTCGCCCGCGAGTGGGCGGCCCGGGTCGCCTTCGGTGCGGCTTCTGACGTCTCGAGACCGCGCGAGACGGCCGGAGGGGACGGCGGCAGCGTCTGTCTCGGAGACCCCGGGTGCGGATGCCGCCAGTGGTGACAGGAACGAACGGATGCCAGGAGAGCGCACGTGGACTGCACTGGCAGACCCTCTCCCAGTGATCAGGACGGGACCAAGGCGCGCCGGGCGATCAGCAGCTGTTTTTACCTCCGATTCTCGCTCATGGATCGGCGTGATAGATGGCGCCACCTATACCGCCAGCGACAAGGCACGTGGCGCTATTTGCAGTCTGCCGGTGGCGCCCGTCTTCGGGATGTGCATCAGCCAGACCGTGCCTAGTTAGACTTATCGTTGTCAGATGTTGACAGCCACACGCCGCTGTGATAACTGGCTACTTATGGGGTGCTGGCATTGCCAGGCGGTATCTAATACATTTCTACGTCATATGTGTGTGTGACGTCACTTCGCGACCGCATATTTGCCGTGCCGCTTCGTCACCGCAGTTCCGTCGGAAAACACCGAGGCATCGATATAAAAAATATCTTCGGGAAAACGCTAACAACTTAGCTCACTGCACGTGTTGGAAACTGAAAGGAAACACAGCTCATTGATCCCGCGGCCAGCGCGGCAGTCTCGCGTTTGCCGCCGGGCTCCTCCACCAGAACCATCCAGCCACCGCGCCGCGCGCGGGCTGCCGCCGCCACGCCAGAGGCCCGCCGTTTCTATGTACACGCGGCGGCCGCTGCGACGGGAGGGGTTGTCTCGGGGTCCGATGCGGTCAAGCGGGCGACAACTGCCGGCGTGTGCCACGAGACGCCTGGCCCAGCTGCTCCGCCGGAGAGCCCGGCCAGCGAGCGCGGCGACGGTGCGTCTTCGCTCGCCCACCACCTTGCCCTCAGCACGGGGCACCGTCGGCGCGCCGTCTCTGCCGCGCTGTTCTCGCCGTCCAGAGCGGCCCAGAGACGTGTCTTGTGACGTGTCCCGGACCACAGCCGCGTCCCGGTCGACAGCCGTGTCCCGGTCGACAGCCGCGTCCCGGTCGACAGCCGTGTCCCGATTCACAGTCGTGTCCCGGTCGACAGCCGCGTCCCGGTCGACAGCCGCGTCCAGTCGACAGCCGTGTCCCAGTCGACCAGCCGCGTCCCGGTTCACAGCCGTTGTCCCGGACCACAGCCGTGTCCCCGGTCGACAGGCCGCGTCCCGGTCGACAGCCGCGTCCCGGTTCACAGCCGTGTCCCGGACCACAGCCGTGTCCCAGTCGACAGCCGCGTCCCGGTTCACAGCCGTGTCCCGGACCACAGCCGTGTCCCGGTCGACAGCCGCGTCCCAGTCGACAGCCGTGTCCCAGTCGACAGCCGCGTCCCGGTTCACAGCCGTGTCCCGGTCGACAGCCGTGTCCCGGTCGACAGCCGCGTCCCGGTCGACAGCCGTGTCCCGATTCACAGTCGTGTCCCGGTCGACAGCCGTGTCCCGGTCGACAGCCGTGTCCCGGTCCACAGCCGCGTCCCGGTTCACAGCCGTATCCCGGTCGACAGCCGCGTCCCGGTCCACAGCCGCGTCCCGGTTCACAGCCGTGTCCCGGTCGACAGCCGCGTCCCGGTCCACAGCCGCGTCCCGGTTCACAGCCGCGTCCCGGTCCACAGAAGCATCCCAGTCCACAGCCGTGTCCCGGTAGACAGCCGTGTCCCGGTCGACAGCCGTGTCCCGGTCCACAGCCGCGTCCCGGTTCACAGCCGCGTCCCGATCCACAGAAGCGTCCCAGTCCACAGCCGTGTCGCGGTCGACAGCCGCGTCCCGGTCCACAGAAGCGTCCCGGTTCACAGCCGCGTCCCGGTCCACAGAAGCGCCCCAGTCCACAGCCGTGTCCCGGTCCACAGCCGTGTCCCGGTCCACAGCCATGCCCCGGTCCGCAGCCGCGTCCCGGTCCACATCCGTTGTCCCGGTTCACAGCCGCGTCCCGGTCCACAGCCGCGTCCCGGTCCGCCCGTCCACAACCACTCACTCGGCGGATTCTGCCGTTTCGTTTTCGCTCTGCCCCCTCCGCTTGTTGCCCTGCGGGGGAGGACAGGGATGACCCACACAGCCAGCGGCAGCGTCGCCAGTCGGCCGCCGCCGCCGCTCACAAAGGCCCGCCACGTGGCAATCAATACACCCGAGACTTTGACTGCAGCGCTTCCACGTTCATTTCGCGGCATTCGAGCGGTAACGGGTTGTGATATCCACAGGACCGCATCAGAGCGCTCACGCACAATGCGCCCCAACGTGATGTAAATACACTGTGTGCACTGCAAGGAGCTTAGGCCGAGCAGGGGATCTTCCTACACCTATCCCAAAATACACCAAAAAATGCGGGGTTTTCTCCAAATTTAGTACCACTCAGTTAGGGTACAGATCGGAGCCCAAGCTGAAGAGAAAACTGCACCTCCACCATAGAGGTGCAGTTTATCCAGAAGTTTGGGTATTGTTTGGCCTGGACCCGTCACAGCTGAGTGGTGAGCTGGTCCTCTGTGTACCTCCCTCTGACCTGGACCCGCCGCAGCTGGGTGGTGAGCTGGTGCACGCGGCTGCGCTCCTGCTCCAGCTGGGCCAGGAGGCCGGTAACCTGGGCCGACATGTCGGCCCGCTCCCGCTCCGCCGCCTCGCACGCCGCCTGGGCCTTCTCCAGGCCCACGATCAGCTGAACTTTCTCCTTGGCTGCCGGCGGAGGGCAGAGGTCAGCGACATGCGACCCGAGGCGCCGACTATCTGGACTGTTGGCTGATCGACTGATTGTTGATTGGCTATCTTTCACTGATTGTTGATTGGTCGTCTGCTGCTGCGGCTCTGCTGCCCACTGATTGCGGCGGGCGCCGAGGCTGCGGGGGCGTGCGGCGCCCGATGTGGTAGTCAACATGCGATTGCTGGTGTACTATGGCGCGCGCCGCTGCGTGGCGGTCTGAGATGATGATGACGACGCCATTTTTGTGATGTGGTGACGTGAGGGCACTGTGCCTGGCTGGATGGATGACGGATTGCCGTGGTGCTCAGGACGGCGATGCTGTCGTCGGTTGCGACGATTTGGCGGTGACGCAAGCGATGATCCAACCCACGAGTGATATCGCGTGCAAGAGACCAACTTTTCAAAAAGAAAAAACACAGACACTCCCAGTGATATAAACGGCAATACTCCTGAACATGACCCCAGGGAGGTCCGTCGCGGTCGCCTGCGGTCTCCAGTCCGCTTCTTTGCGTCTCCAGCTGACAGAAGGCTCACAGTCTCACATATCATGTCCCTACTCCCCAATCTCCAGACTCTAGCCTCCAGTAAGCAGACCCCAAACCCTAGTCCCCAATCTCCGGTCTCGTTCCCAGTCCCAAAGCTCCAGTCCCCAAGCTCCAGTCCCCAGTCGCAGGTCCTCAGTCTGCAGTCTGCAGTCTGCAGTCTCCAATCCCTAATCTCCAGTCTCCAGTCTCCAGTCCCTAATCTCCAGTCTGCAGTCTGCAGTCTCCAGCTTCCAGTCTCCAGTCCTCAGTCCTCAGCCCCCAGCCGAGCCGCCGTGACTCACTCTCCGACTGCGTCAGCACGCCCAGCACGCGCTTGGTGCGCGCCTTGGCCAGCTTCAGCTCGTCGCGCGTGCGCTCCAGCTCCAGCGCCAGCTCCTCCACCTCGGACTCCCTTGGCGGCCAGCCGCAGCTGCAGCTCCGACGGCAGCTCGGCCGACCGCCGGCGGCGGCGGCGGCGGCGGCTGCGGCACCACACCGCGCCAGCGGCCGGTTGGCGCGGGCTGGACTGGTCTACACTTCGCGGGGCGCACCGCACTGTCCTCAGCTGGTTAACATAGCACGAAACAGGAGGTGACTGCTACCGAACGAACAATAGTATGTCAAATCTACGTTGGTGGTTCCGGCCAGCGTATATACCGACATAGCTAAGGCAGCCACAAACAGCTACAGAAAGCAAGCAGGTACATTGACCATGCTGCTTCAAATGTAGACACTGTGTGTACCCGCCAGTTCACAGGGCCCCGACTCTCCCCAGATCGTGTGGTCCACACTCACCAAGCCATAAGGTCCCAACACCCACTGAGCCATAGGACCCCCCCTCACCGGGTTCATAAAGTCCTCACCGCCTCCCGGCCAAGCAGCCCGCCCGCCCTCACCAGGTCTTGCCGGATGCTCTCCAGCGCCCTCTCGCGGTGCTTGCAGCGCGTCGCGCGTCTTGCGCTCCACCTGGTCGAAGAAGTCGCCGCCGTCGCCGCCGGCGGCGCCGGCCGGGCCGGGCGCCGGCGGCCGGCCCGGCCGCCGGCGCATCAAGTGCCGATAGTCGCGCTGGTCAATCTACGAAGCGCGGCGGGGGCGGGCGGGGGGGGGGGGGGGGAGGGGTGAGATACGCACAGCTCGCCCGCGGGCAGGGCGGCGGACGTCACGGGACGCGTGGCGGTCAGGCTTCACGCCACTGGGGTGCGCGGTTTTGACCTCGGATCTTGCGAGTTTGGTGCAGTGTATGACAGGGGAACAGAGCGACGGTCTGATAGCATAGCTTTAGGTGGTCCTCCGAACTTGACCTGCTACAACTCAGTTTTATGGGACCGACGATCGGCGCGCCGGGACAACCAACCACAGAACGCAATCTGCAAAATCAGCCGCGGAATCGACCCGAGGTTACAGCGCAAAAGGATGGCGTCGGACTGGCCGGGAGCTCGCGTACGCCTGGCAGACGGAGCCGAGATTCTAAAACCACAGAAGCGCATAGTTGTGCAGAGAAATATAGCTCGGCCTGGTGACTTTTGCTTTCGCGGCAACACAAACATTCGCAGCTATGAGCTGGGGAATTGGCACAACAAATACGATAACTCTGATACTCGTCAGTCACAAGCAACCTGCAAGGGCAGCTTCAGCGGCCTGTGGAAAGAAAGGCATCATCTGCCCTAAATTCGCACCTCCTGGGTTTATGATACCAGTCCGAAACAAACTCAGAGCCATGATGTAGGGTTGAGATCACCTGGCGGGAGACCTTCGAACCCTACGACACATCAGCCTCGATGAGCGTCCGACCAGCGCCCGTTCCAACCTGGCGAAGTGCCACCGCCCGGTCATCAGGGGCGCCGCTGCTGCTGCTCGCAGCCGCGGGCGGCACTGCAGCACCCTCTCGCAGCCCGCACGCTCGTCCTCTCTCACACCACGTCCGGCCGCGGCGCACCCGAGCACGCCCCCCTCTCCCCCTCTAGCGGGGTCGCCGCGGTCACCTGCGACGTCGAGAGAGTCTGCAGCTGGTCTACACTGAGGATGTTTGGCTTGACCTTCTTCGCCTTCTGTTTGGGCGCCTCGGGCCCGTCGCCGTTGGCGGCCAGCAGGTTCGCCCGCTCGAAGTCCACCTTGGACATCATCATCGCCTGCTGCAGGTCCTTCTCGAACGTGTCGTCGACCAGCTGAGGACACCGAAGGCACGCCGGTCTGATGAATCGAACGCGCGACGCCAAGAGCACGCCGCAGCCACCAGCGGCGCCCAACCTCTCTGCCAGGTGCTGCTCTGACCACTTATCTCTATCTCACATGCGTGCCGCTTGACGGAAGAGGATGGTATTCGAGCTGGGGCTCGAACTGAGCGGACTAGCGTTTTCGCCCAGACCCCACTGCCAGAGATGCTCAAACGTGCAACCACGCCGCAGCGCACTCGGCCACATGCCACGTCACACGACACTACAAGAGCCGCATGACACGCCATGACACCTTATGACACAACGCGACACCACATGGAGCACCCAGGCCCGCTGGATGGTTTGGCGGTGGTCATTCTCAGGTGGCAGGCTATGCAGCATTCCAAAACTGATCCAGTGTATCATACAATATATATATATATATATATATATAGATATATATATAATATATATTATTCATGCTACCAGAATGCTGGTTCACAGGCGGCCCGCGCGCGAAATCCGCGGGCGCTAATCCGTTGCCCTTGGACCTCAAACCCAAACATGTGACCTGCCCAGCCCATTGGTCAAGCCTGAGGCACTTAGATGCTGAGTTGGCTGCTGCCCAGTTTGGTGCTAATTGGTCGATTTTGGGCAAACAAGCAGGGGAAGGGGCAACAAGCAGGGAAGTCCAACGCCAGGGGTGTAAAAGGAACAATATTGTATCCCTGCCATCCAAATAACTGAATTTTAAAACAAGAGGCATGCCAACTCTTCTGAAAATATTTCTTTGACAGACATGACTCACATGCAGGAAAAGGCTGCTTATCATGCAAAGTGAATGTTGTGTGGGAAATATTGGCAATGGGATACCAGCAACAACATACATAGGTGGCACCTTCACATTATCCATAACATTTCAGTGCTTAATATCCAAATGTTGCACCTGTCTTAGCTTCTGCATGATAAAGAGCACACAAATTAGCAACATATACAAGTAACCTAGTTTCTCCCCCTTTCACATAAAAATATAAATCCCACCAGGTAAAACATCACCAATTTCAAACCTCAATCCAGTTTCTCATGTCTGGGAAATGGGTTTGAGCAAGTCAACTGATAGGCCTCAGGCTACAGCACTGACCACTTGGTCCCTTTTCTCCCATTCCTGCCAGTCAGCCTCTGCTGCCTTCTGGTGAATTATGGGCTTCTGCGTGGACTGCTGAC